AATCGGACTATATGTTCGTATTCCATTATTCGACGGGTATTTCTAAAGCAATTAGGTGGTCTTTGAGTATATACGGGTTACGGCCATAGTGTCAAATTTCCAATGAAACGGAGTCATTCGATGCACAAAAACGAATATGTTAAACTTTATTGCATTAGCTGAAGGAGGAGTCGTGGCACTAAAATTGATACCAGAAATTGCTTTCTATGGAAAAATAGCGTCCCTGTCGGTAGCCCCAGTCGACGGGGGGAATAGAGGCCACGATCCATAAAGGACCCCGGTTTCGGAACTTTTACTGCCGATCGCCACGGTCATAGAACCCCCCCCCCAGTTCAAAGGTGTGCGCAGGCTAATTTCTAGGTAAAAGTACGTAGAAAGGCTGTCCCCCACACTCATCCAAAATTTCACTACTTTCACGCCGTTCGGAATAGTGTCCTTGGGGCCGTGTTTTCTTCGGTGAACCTGGTTCTTGCGCCCACCGGCAGATTAGCACCAGATTAACCCCATTTTTTTTTCTTTTTTTCACCTCCTTTCTCCATCTTCTCGGTTCCGTCAATGTTTTTTTTTTCCTTCTTCGACTTAGGCATCTGCGCGACGATCGGAAAGCTTACACTCTTAATCCCTTCGATTCCCTTTTTCACGGATCCCTTGAGAATGGTGAATGACGAAAAAATATAGTCGCTGAGAAAGTGACGTGGGTGGAGTAACCATGACAAAAAAGAATGGTAGAACTTGTATTATGTTTCGTTACAGAAAAGTATGAAAGTTGAAAAAATGAAATCTCGTGCCTTGTAGGTTGAAGTTTCTAACATTGTACAATGAATAGAAAATCAACTGTAGGGGAGACTCTGGGCTGATATATTATTGTAAAATAAATGCCAATCGACCAACAATCGTCTCTTTCCATCTTTATACACTAATTCCATACTTACGCAGCAGTAAGCGAATTTCCTAAAACGATTATCCTAATGGAAAAAATAATACACCAACAGTAACATTATATTATATCTTCGAATTATGTACCTTTTTACTCGAATCCCGTAAAATTCTTTGCAAGGTGTGTCATCGTGTGCGAATTTAAAAAAATTTGACAGAATTCAACCGTTGCAGACTTAAAAAGACAAATTGTCACGTTTGTCCCAGATCTCCCCTACTACCTATATCTATAAAATAAAAATAAAAAGAGTATTTAAAAAAGTACGAATGATAGAATCCTACCAACAGTGTTCTAAATTCGAATTGATCCTCCGACGATCGACGTCTCGAGGAAAAATCCTAGCTAAATACCGTGGCACGAGAAACAGCAGCAGCAAAAATGAAAATAAAAATACTGCAGCTCGAAGGTCCACGGGGCGGAGAAATCGCCGCGATCCGGAAATTTAATCCAGCCTCGTTAAACCCTTCCTCTCTTTGCAGCAGCGTGCCGGGGCCGGCGTAAAAGGGGGTGGCAAAGTGTGCGAGTGCAATTTCGTTGTAAATCTCGCAGGAAAGCCCCCGTGAACGACACGCTGACCCAGAAAGTCAAAGGGTTGGGATTCCGTCAAGATCGATTCGAATTTCGTGCACGGCCGGTCCTGCCAGTCTGCTGTCCTTTACAGCCTGTCCCTTCGAGTTTCCGCCAAAAGGGCTGAATCGACGCCTCTCTTTTGCGCGAAAATCGGTGAAATGAGCCTTGGACACCCTAATAAATCTCCAACGGTAACGCTGCCTATACTGTTTCTCTCTCTCTCCCCCACAAACACGGGCCAGAACGTGGCCTATGGGGCCCCCCACTAAGGCACCGCATGAATCCCTGTCCAAATATTGGGCCCCGTCGGTCCTCGATCCTCATAACTTAATAAATTATGCCAGCCCGCTAGCGCAACCGGTCGACGACCACGCAAAAATTTTCCCGGAAGTCGAGCACATTTTTACGAAAAAGACACAAACACTATACTGCGGCGGTCGGAGTTTATTGCGTTTTATTGGATCGTTTGGACCGCTTTCTTGTTTCTTCAACATCAATTATTATCGACGGTGACGTTAATTTCGCATGGTTAATTAAATTTCTTGGAAGTGAACCCTTTAGACTTCATGCTGTTTTGTTGAAATGTGAATTTCGGGGAGAGGATGAAGACGTGGAAGGGTTTAATTATTCTGTTTACGGATCGTATTTATTGTTAAGCTTTAGTGGATGGGAAACCTATTTTTAGGATCCAGAGGGATAGCTTATTTTTTTGTAGTATAATATAACACTTCGACAAATATATGTGCTGATCTAAAAATCTAAAACCATTAAACACATCACTTATTTGGTGTTATATCGATACAAAATATAAAAATATCCTGGTCCTCTGTAAATTAATTAGAGTTCCTAAATGAAAATCTTCGAGAACAACGATTGTTCTGACATATTAGAAATACCTCAGTTTTGCTTGTCGTCCACAATTTCATGCAAGAAAATTAATTTCCTTGGACGTAAAATTGTTCCTTTTGCATCGAGTATCTGAAGTGGGTGGTTTGGAAAGGGTAAGAGTTGAAAGTGAGGGAGTTAGAAGAATCTCAGAATTTTGCGTAGAGCAAGGGAAGGTCTCGTTAATCGGAGTTCCAGGAGAAGGCCCCCCAGGAAGGACTCACATCAATGCCTGTCCAAATATTGTGAAGCTCGACGATTTACACCGAGCAAATCCGTCGAAAGTTAATAAATTCGTCAAGCGTTAATTAGACATTGGCCGCAGGATTAGCCGGATTAACCGGAGGCGTGATCGGGGTCTCGTGCCTCTTTCCATTGATTCGATCGGCCAGATTACAATAATCTAATTGTTAAGATATCACGATTACGTAAGTGTATTGCGATCGATTGTTCTACATAAAATATGGTATTAAACTTGGGAGAGAAAAAAATTACTATACCACTGGTGAATTACAATTATTCGAGTGAGAGAAAGATTTATTAAAATATGTCAATATTTAATCCCTGTATATATTGCTCTTTTCTGGCAGAATGGTTTTCATTGTACTTATCGTAAAAAATAACCGGATAAATTTTCACAAAAATACTCGGAGATTAACTTTAACACCGCGGAATAAAACATTGAATTCGTGGAAGTAATAAAACGGATAGACCCTTTCTTTACTTTCTATTAGCTTCAGGTATACTAATCCATCCAACGGCTTCAAAAAGAAGTTAACACCTGAATTAAAGACAATACGGCAATCGCATTAAATTCCCAAGAAAACCAAAAAACAAATACATTTAAAAAGAGAAAAAATAATTAAATTATCCGACACGGGGGAAGAGGAACTTAAAGCAGAATAATCGGTCTATTATCGTTCGAGGTAGACCTGGGGTCCCCAGGTATACACACCCGAAAACCGACCTCCTCAAACTCGACCTTAAGAAACCCAATTAACAGTCCGAAATTCCCTGCAATTCTGCTGGCGAAAAAAATTTTACACGCTTGCACCGAAATTACTACAGAACTAAATTAAAAACCACATAAAAGTTATATTCTTCTTTTACACCCTCGTGCACTGTTCAATAAACTATCACATTCCTATTCCTAGAATTAATTTCATTAGATCATCTTAGGTGTACAAATTAATTCGTAACCTTCCTTCCATACATTACAAACAATAGCTCTGGGTCGAACTGTCCCGAAACAGTGCACGAAGGTTAAGGATATTTAGAATTCTTTATATTTCTGGTATGTCTTAACATCAACTTGGAACCTTAATACATACCCTGGGTTTTATACAGCTTTTAATTCTCTCCCAGAATATACATAAAACACATATTAGAGTTTCAAGTCGATATTACAAAATAATAATAAAATAAATCACAAAACAAACATCTTCATACGTTACTGTACATCTGTCCTATACAAGAAAAAAGCATGTCAACTCTCGTTAAAAAACGCCCAAGAATTCCTTTAATCGCACAAACCCCAAAAACTGAAGATCACTCGTCTATCCACCTGCGTCCCCCGATTCCTCCAAGAGCGCACGAATCCACGGAGGTCAAGAAACGCGTGCGGCATGGATTGTAGAAGCGTGTGGACGTTGGTTTAAGTGGGGGAGGGGTTGATGGTGGAGGGAACACGTGCGCGTGAAAATTTCCGTCGTCACGGTAAGCGTGGCTGCTTGCCGGAGGTGTACACACCAGCAAGAAGACGAAGAAAGGACGAGGGTGAGAGTCGAAAGGAGACGAGATAAGAGAAACTGGTCTCTGGTACGGGATAAACAAAGAGGGATGAACGTGGTGGATGGCAGAGAGTGAAAAGCCGAACGAACGATGGCCATGTGAGCGAAAAGGACAGCCAGTGGGGGATGCACGACGTGAGAGAGAAAGGGAAGAAGGTAAGGAAGAGAGCGGCGGAGGCGCAAGCTACCCTTGGCCAGAGAGGCAGAGCAGGCTGGCAGCCCCTTTCGCAAGGCACCCCCTAAGCCTGGTTAGGGGCGAAGGCGGCGAGCCGCGGAGGCCACAACACGACCGCCGTCCTCATTGGTCGACGCGCCTGGCCTGGGTGGGGCTCCGGAAAAATTGGAGGGGAGAAAAATCCCCTCTAAATAGCTGCGGCCGCGGCCGCGAAAAACTAGAATCCGCTCAGCCGGCATCGAGTGCGCGTCGGTTCAACGGTATATAGCGAGAAGTTTCATAGAGCCAGTTTCTTTCAACGAGTTTCGGAAGTGATCAACGGGGGAACCCACGAGTGTTCTCTATTCTCGAGGTTTCAATCGAGAACGATACACAAGCACAGACTTTCTGGAGAAAGTTTAATCGGTGTTGTTTGTTTCTTTTTCTTTTTATTTTCGATATCTACCAGGAACATTTTGGTGTGTCGAGGCGTGGTATCGAGTGCAGATTTTGGAGATACACGCGGAGTGTTTATTGGACTTGAACTCTTCAGTGATATCGAAGGATAAAATTTCTATTCACTTGGTGCTTGAGGATTATCTTCGGTTTCTGGACTGTTCCGATTCTGTGAGGGATCGAGAGTATTCTCGAACTGGTTGGAAACATGCATTTACCGGAAGGACCGCTCGGTATGGACAGTTACAACGCGATACGGGAGACCCTACAGGTTCATTGCGATCTCGTGAGGACCGGAAGTCCCGCCATCCTGTGCAGCGCGTTGCCGTCACACTGGAGATCGAACAAATCGTTGCCCGTGGCCTTCACGGTCGTCGCCCTCGACGAGGTCACCGACGGCACCTTGGTCACCATTCGCGCTGGCAATGACGAGAACTGCTGCGGCGAATTGAGGAATTGCACGGCGGTTATGAAGAACCAGGTCGCGAAGTTCAACGATCTCAGATTCGTCGGTCGTAGCGGGAGAGGTCAGTGTCCCCATAGATCGTCTGTTTACAGATTCTCGCGATCAGAAATGTAACTAAAGTTCAAGAGCACATGCCACAATACTATAAATTTAGAAAAGAACTACTTTTAGGAAAAATAAAATTGTTGACCGCACGAAATACTAAAAACTGATACAGATATAGCATATGTCTCTTGATTCTTGGATTTTATTACACTCCGACAAAGCTATAACTCGACCTGATCTTGTTTCTTGCAGGAAAATCATTCTCCCTGACCATCCAGATCAGCACGGTACCATTCCAAATCGCCACCTACACCAAAGCCATCAAGGTCACCGTGGACGGACCAAGGGAACCACGATCCAAGTCGAGTAAGTTCGACGCAACTATCTTCAATCTTCTCGGTGATTTCGATCGATTCCTTCGGCTCCGATATACACTTCCAAGACTCACCTCCGCAAGATCTGTCAATTACGTGTTCCACCGATATTGTACAAAGAATCAAAAAGACCCTGCTTAAATTCTCAACGTCGAATAACAAAAATCTTAGTTACAAATTCCTCTGCATCTTTCAATTAAACATGTTCCACCGATTTCGCATAAACCATCGAAAGTACATTTTTTAAATTCTCAGCATAAAATCGCGAAAATCTTAATAACAAGTTTCATTGCAAGTTCTTCCCACTAAACGTATACCACCGATTTCACGTAGAGTCGAAAGTACATTCTTCAAATTCTCGACGCAGAATGGTAAAGATCTCAGTGCAAATTTCACGGGGAACAAGTGGAAATCTCAATTCGACGGGGAACAGGCGAAAATCGCGGAACATTCAAACGAAAAGGGGTACCAAGAGGTATCCGGGTTATAAGTCACGGTCGGAGTACGGTGACCAGCGTGGAATCCGCAAAACGTTCGTCGGGAGCCTCGCAGGCGTTTAATAATCCGGTGGACCTCAAACCGCGAGCCACCGCCGCGGCGGCGGTGGTCGCGCGCGCGAGAGAACCTCCGAGTCGTTTACACGTGTGCACGTGCATAAGGGTAACTCTATGCTCACGCGCGTACAGACACATTCTCTGTCCCATTCGTACGCGTGAAAACACGGTGTTAGATCGACGGTGGAAAAGCTTGGCACGGTTTCAAGCGGACCGCGACGATGTGTCCTTTTGGCCATCCACGCGCGGGTTACCATTCACTGGATGAAGTTCGCGGCGGATTGGTCCAGAAAATCTAGTAAAACTGTGTTTATCAGGAGGGCGGTGTTTTCACGGTGGTTCAAAGACAAGTCGAAAGATCGCGGGTGGTACGGTTCAGGCGGCGTTCGTCTGCAAAGGAGACCGCGTTTACGCGTTTGTTTATCGCGGCGCATATGGCGTAGCGTCGTTAATACACGTTTTACAGAGGCGAACTGCCCTCCCCCTCGCAGTCTTTTTATCTCCGCCATCCGCTACTCTTTGTCAGTTCGTTAGACGTTCGTCTGGACAGTTTAGAGTCTTTGCAGATTCTTTCCCTCCGGGCTTGTTATTTTTTTTTTTATTGGCTGATTGAGGACCGACGAATCGAACCAGCGTCTCGATATGAACGATCTTTCGAAACGACAGGGGAGAGGAAAAGTTTTCCAAGGTTGATTTTGGTAGGAGAGACCTTGATCGCGTAGCCGATTATTTATAGAGCCGAAGGAATCGCTGCTCGGGTTCGAGCTATTTTAAATGTATCTCGGGGAAACCACCAGCTTCGAACTAACAGATCCTCTTCTTTGGTTACAGATTATCAGTACGGGCCTGGATTCCCTGGACTGGGTCTCCTGAATCCATGGGTGGATGTCGCCTACCTGGGACACGCGTGGCACATGCCTCATCCTGCGTTCGTCAAAGGTAAGCTTCCTTTTAACAATCATCTTGCATCTAAGTACGATACTCGTGGGGAGCTCGAAGAGTCATCACCCCCCTCCCAATTCTACTTTTTCATCTTCCAACTCCCTGACAATCAGAAATACTAGTCCACTAGTGCTCCTAATCGTGCTCCCATCGCGAGCTCAGCCCTTCGCTCCAGACCCAGCCTGTGCAATCAATCAAATCCCAACAATGCAGTCGGAATATCAGACTCCTCTTGCTGCTATATACCCGCTCGTTCCGCTAAAGGAGAAGAGAGAGAGAGAGAGAGAGAAAAAAAGAACAGAGCCTCGGGAAGAGAGGACACGCGTGTTCACCGAGAGAGAGTCCGCGCGCGCGTTATCGATTTCGCCCCCGGAGTCCGCGACGCCTGGCGATGATTCATACCCCCGTGGCTGCTGGACCGAGGGGTGAGCCTGAGCTCCCTTTTCCCACAACGAACGGACCCCTTCGACCCCCTATATCCTAGCCTTCTCTCCTCCCCTACTGGCAACTACGCAACAATACGACTTAGCTCCCTTCACCCACGAGCTCACCCTATCTCTGTCTACCCCTGAAAAGCAAAGTCTAATCGTACGTCTCGTTTTCTCTTCAGGAACGATCCCGATGTCATCGACGGACCTATTTCCGCCCACGTTCCCGCCAACGGTTCTGCCCTCCTATCCGTTCGACCACGTGAAATACCCGACGGAGTACACCACGCTGCCGCCAAAGACAACCACCACCACCGCCACCCAGCCAGCCATACCAAACAGCCCATCCAGGACACCACCAAGGAGTCCAAGCGAATCTGGTAGCGAGTCAGCTGCAGAAGAGATCCGTAGCGCGTTCGTACCGATCAGATTGAACGCACTGGCGCCTACCTCGTCTGTGATCACAGCGACTGCCTCGTCACCTGAAACTATCATCCCGAAGAAAGCGACCGAGGGTGTCAGGAATGAGTTGAAAGCACCTAGGACTCTGATCAACCATAAATTGTCCCCTAAGAGGAGCCCGTCGCCGACGAAGATCTCGTCGCCGCCCCCAGCGAAACCGGTCTGGAGGCCTTACTAAGCGAAGGTTTAGAAGTCTGCGAGAAAACACAAATGGAGTACCAATATATTCCCGCTGGAAGGCTAGTGATTATATACATTTCGACGTTGTTTGTTGGACCTACGGTGTCCCTACGAATATACTCTCCTGGGGAAGAGGATAGCGTGGCTGACGTGTTAATCGTGCGACCATGAAGAAGGAGTTTCAGTCTTTCTTTCGTTTTATTTTTGGTTCTTCAATTGATTTGAGTTCGTTCTTTGTTGCATTCTGTGGCGACGAGGGGAGAGTCAGTTCTTCGGTTTTACGAAGACGGTATATAGATATATATACAGATATTTGTAGTTACCTTACGGTGATCGTACGTTAACTCCACGGACCGTCGCGGAGGATAACTGGTCGAGGGCTGGTCACTTTCGATCACTCGCGTCGTGTGTGTACAATTTCGCGAGAGTATTATTGTACATAGGACGGGGTTTGTACATACGTGTAGATAGTTCGTGGACAATAATGTAGAGAGAGATATTATATGTATAAAATATTCGCGCGAGTGCAACGGTTGTGTGGATGTGTGTATGAGTGTGTGTGTGTTTGTTTGTGAGAGAGAGAGAGAGAGAGAGACCAAAAGACAGAGATATTGATATTATTTATAAGCCAGAGATCTAATTTAATGTAAACAGATGGTATTATATAGAGACGCAGCGAGAGGAATAAAATCGAAATCGATGCGAACATTTAAATCCAGCCTTGTTCTTCCAACCCTAACAAACCAGTGCTCCACATTTCACACTTTGAACACACTATATTTCAACAAACAAAGAACAATTACATTTTCAACATCCAATTAACAGTATTATTTACTATTATTACAAGCCTTGTGTTTGTAGTAACTATTTTCCAAATAATTATTTTTTATTCTTCTTGTATACCAACAGATAGCTTGCATATTAATAACCTGATCTCAAAATAATTCAGTTTGAAGAAGTTCATCGATGTTTGTGCAACCATGATTCTCCATCGACACTAAGAACATCACCTTCTTCGCACCTCAATAAAAAATCAGACTTTCTCGAAACCCAAGTGTCACATCAATAATACGTTTCGCCAAAAAAACTTCAACACTCCCAAACATTCTTCAACAACGTCAAACACCTCTACCCAGTTCACGACCGGAATCCAACCGTCCCTTTCAGCCGTGAATTAAAACGTTTCTAGCCCACGGTCGGCGTCAACGATACTCCGTAGGCCGCAATCTCGGTCACGGCGATTCGTCGTCTAAAGAAAAACCGGGTGGCCATTTTAACATTGTCCCCCTTCGAGAGAACGAACATCCTTCGGAGGTATCCGTCGTGCACGCGTTCGACCGTGAAAGAGAAAGAAAGAGATAGATTGAAACGCTTCGTGTCGGTGGCAAAGGAGGGGAATCCATATTTTCTTTTTTGTTCAGTCTCTCTTTCTCTTTCTGTCGCGATTTAAATCTGAATGGCCGTTCCGCCGCGGTCGTTCGAGGTTGCCGCGTGTGCGCGCGTATGGGTTCCCATACGGCCGTGGCACCAAGGGTGGAGAATGGTTTATATTGAGGGGAGTGCGTGAGATCTGTATTAGTACCGATGGGCAAGCGGAACGACAGTGTTTCTCATCCTCGAAACGATCGTGTTCACCTCCCATCGCCACGGATTTAATACCCGTACCCTCCGTAAGACAGTTATTCCTCATCAAAACGCGCCCAAAAACACGGAATAATCTTTCTTTTTCTTTTTTTTCTTTTACTTGTATATACTCTTTTGTTTTTCTACTTCACAGAGTAATCATTCAACGACGGGAGAAAGAGAGGAGCATGAAATTTGGGGCTACCGGTGATTTCCGGCTGGGAAACGCGACGGGGAATGCCTCAAAATTCGACGTTTCCAGCGGATATCGTGTTACGATAGGCGAAGCCTGCATCGCCGCCAGTATGTCACTGTGAAACATAACCTAGGACAAGGGATTCCATTCGCCCACGCGTGTGCGTGCGTGTTTGTGTCTGTGCGCGTTGTTGTTGCTTGTTTTTTTTTTTTCGCCTGTTTCCCGTCGTTCGCCTTTCGGTTTTCGGTGCTGGTGTGCAATCGCCCCGGACGTGTTTGTCAAGCCCGAGCTCTCGTCGAAGTCGAGGACAGTTAATCCCGGTGACATCGTATAACTATAACTCAATTCCCCAACAGCACGGGGAATATAATTCTTGACGCGTGTCCCGAAGAAAACCAGGAATTCCCGTGGTAGGGGGGGGGGGGGAACGACGGGCTTATCGGGCCTGATAACAAATGCATCGGGAGAATCGGATGAATATTAAAGGGTGGTCGCGAGGAATGGAAGAATCGAGGATTTTTACGGGAGTGAGGCTAGTCAGGATCGATGGGTGGTCGATCGTTTATTAATCTGCATGAAGGTGCTCGTGATTGAAGAATCGAGGATCGAACTTTGAAAACTGTACGATGGTGGCGAACGATATCTGATGGCACGTGTAATGGGGGTGAGTTTTCAATTAAATTTATTCTAAATCTTGTGGAATCTAATCTACTATTAGACAATATATGCACTGATTCTGCCGTTGAATATTGTGATATAGTGTGTAGAAGCTTTCTGAGTAATTTTCATTAGACATTTAGTCTACCGTTTTTTTATTAATCTTGTATGTCAATGGATATACTATATAATATAATGGTATATGCTATGAATGCATATAATCCACAGTCTGGTTATTAAACTCAAAGGTACAACACGAACATTTTTATTCCTCCAGTTATTTATTTCGAAATCTACCCCCTCTGGTGTAGATACTAAAATATCAGACGCAGCGTGCACACAAGGGGTGGGTTCGATTAATCGCGTAAAGAACAAAAACAAACAAGAGGCGAAAGAAGGCTCTTCTTTATTTCCAGCGAGATCGATCGCTGAGGAAAATGAGAACCACGTTGACACTCCGCAGCCGTGGGGCTGTTCGTTGACGAGTAGACAACGGAACCAAGCAACCATGAAGGGTCGCCGCACGAACCGAGCCAAACCGATCGGAGGCAATCCAATGAACGCGCGCGCGCACGCCAGCCGGTGCTAACTAATGTTTGCCCAAAGAATCGCGACGAATAATTGAGTCAACCGGCAGAAGAGTGAGGAGGAAGGAAAAAGAATAAAAAAAAAATCAGCGCCCCCGAATCACCGGCGGAATAATCGACTTTCGTCGGGTACGGACGGACTTCCTCGCCTCGCGATTTTTCAGCGCTTCGAGCGTTATTGACGAACCCCTTCCGAGAGCCGTTCTCTTAATGGATCGGACGTGGTATATACGAACGAATATATATTCGGAGGAAATCTGGGGATCATCCAGGAATATGCTGAAGAATTTTGTATATCTGACCAATCTGGTGTACAGATTTAACAATTGGATAGCGAATGGTGAAGGTCTGACGCTGCAGACGACTGTTATCAATATATAATATAAACAATATATAACTAATATATATGTATACAATATATAATTTCTGCTCTGAAATTTCCATTAGTACAACATCGTGATTGAAACGTTCCAACTGAAAAACATTTATCTACCCAGTTATCATTACCATACGAGGAACTTAGAGGTCCAAACACAGTAGTCCACGTGATACATGAAATTTCCTGTGACAAATCAGAAATCTTCAGAAATGTTCATCGAAACCATACAATCATCCAGAATGTCTCCAAATTTGTCAGAATGAAATATTATCGTCTCCGTGGTGACATTCTCTTCTTCTGGTGTTCATCGAAGAGAGGAGAGACATGGCCCAGGGTGGGAAACAAATGGTCGAAGTATTCAAACGATCCAAGCGCGTCGACATGCCAGAGGATCCTCTACTCCCGTTCGGGGAGGATCGTGAGGACAGAGGCTCGAGGGTCCTAGAGTTAGGCAATCAGCGTTGATGAGGGGCCACTCGCGGGGTGAAGGGCTCGGACAATTAGTAACCACCCCCGCGTGTGCTTCTCTCCTCTTTCCCCCCTTTGCATCCCGGTGTGTCTTGCCGCACCTTCGGCCTCCGATTCAACCGGTGAGCCTGGCCAACAACGCCGCGACCGCAGCCGCCACGCATGCGAAAGAGGCTGCTCGACGTCATAGAGAGAGAGAGAGAGAGACAAAGGGAATCCAGGGTTTACGTCCGTTGGCCGCGTTGCGTGGATTACGCCACTGTAAAGGGCTCTCTTCGTTCCCGGACAATGTCAGCACGAACGGAACGCTAGCCAGGATAAGAAGAGGATTTCCGGGCATCGAGTGGACCGGATGAACGGTCTGGGCTAGAGGGACGGTGTATCGCGGACGGGGATGTTGCAACTGGGGATAGAATTTTAGTCGATGATCGTTCATGGTGGATTCAGACTGCTGATTTTATGCATTTATAGCCTATAGGGCTCTGTGAAATACTATAAAAGACAGAACTTTCATTGGATCCAACGAGTTTTCTATTTTATTTTGAACCCAATAAGACACTCAAGAGGAAAACTAAATTCCTACGTTTGCCAGGAGAATAGTACTTCAATTCCTCTCAAAGGAAATTACTAATATTCATCCTATATTTAAATCATCACCACAGACTCGACGTTACAAAGCAAAGGGTCAAGAATAGTACCGAAAAGATCCTCTCATCGCGATTCCGCAACCTCAATCCCCCGACTATCTCTATCACAAATCCCTTCTTCAACCACCCAAGACGATGATCCTAATTACAGCATCACGAGACATCCTCGTTACGATCAAGAAAAAAAAGATTCCCTGAAGAATCTCATGAAAACTCAATCTATCGAACAGCCCAGCAACCAAGGAGACCAATTCCCATCCCATTCGAGTGACCTCCCATTTAATCGTTTATCTGTCGTTAGGGGGACGCTTGAAAAACTACTCGTTGTCTCCTCCGCAGAATCGCGCCGCCACTAATTGCCTCCATCGTCTCTTTCCACGGGTACGTGTCGAGGATTACACGAGGTCCGCGCGAGAGGATGGGTCTCCTCGAAGGAGACCG